CCATGGTTTGAATCCTGGTCCTATCAGCTTGAAAATATGCCAGGGCACATGTGTGTGCATGCTCTAAATTCTGGCAGGATGAGGAAATGGAAGAGAAGGAATTCTGGTGTGAACCCTTGCCCTCCCCCCACTGGGGGTGCTTTCTTCCTTTCCTTCTCTTCTCTGCATCTCTGTCTCTCTCTGCCATGTACACACAGCCTCTAGCAATAAATAAACAAATTTGGCCAGCCATTGGCATGGTGGTTAAGGCAGAAGGATACCACATGGCTGTTTGCACGGTTTGAGTCCTGGACCTGGCATGTCAGAAAATATGCAAGGTGCATGTGTGTTTATGCCCTAAATCTTGACCATAAAGTGAAGAAGGAATTGTGGCATTGCTAGTTCTCCTGGGGGATGCTTTCTTACTTTCCCTCTCTCTCCAGCAAGCACACTGGTCCTGTAGTAAGGTTTATTTATTTATTTGTTTGTTTATTTATTTTATAAGAAACGTTTTTGGTACAGTGTGCAGGTGCTCTCCAGAGACACAGAGAGACAGAAAGTGAGAAATCACCCCCCACCCCCTGGGGGGATGGCCACACTGCAATCCCTTCTCCTCTGTTCTTCTCTTGGGATCTTGGGCATGCATGCACATCGCCCAGTGTGAGTCTTAAACTGCTGGATCCAAGATTCAAATTGTGGTCGACTTTGTGAGAGGCCAACAATGTACTAATTATGCCATCTGCTGATCCCAAGTTAATTCCTTTTTTAAAGAAAACTCTCGCTTTATTTATGAAGTGAAAAGATCTTATGAAATTAAATTTTAGAGTCAAATAGAATTTATTTATAAAAAATATAGAAAGTCGTTCTTGAGGCCCTGATTTTTACTGATACATGTTTGTGTTTAATGAGGAAATGAAGAAAAAATTCAAAATAAAACATGAAAAAAGAATTGACAAAAACGTTTTATGATTGGGGCTAGCTGGTGGCATAGTGGGTAACACACTGGACTCAGACATGGTTGACCACGGTTTGAGCCTACGACTTGGATGGGGTGATTTCTCACTTTCCTTCTGTTTTTTTTTTTTTTTTTTTATGATGAGTGCATGCACCCTCTGGCAAAAACAAAAAAACACAGTAATGTAAAACATAAAGTGATATGATTAGCAGAGATTCAAATTAGAATAACATAAAGCTCTTGCCAGGTTGAAGATAAAACAGCATTTTAACATATATTGGCTAATTTTTCTAAATACTTAATCTAAGTTTGGCAATATAGGACTTGAACAGGCCAATAATAAGCTTCCAATAAATACTTCTTTAGAATTACTCATATCCAGTTTAAAAAGTGCTTCTTCTTTTAATGCCATCTCTGACAATAGCTCTATCACTTGGGCCAAGAAAAAATGTCTTCTAAATAGTAGTCTTGTATTATAGGAAACATTTGACCATATTTCTTAATTTAGGACAGTCTCTTTTCCATGTTGTTTTTCATTAATGCTTCTCATTCTTGACTTAAAAATCACTATACTTCCTTTAACCATTCTCCTGGGAATTGATACTTCTGAGTTGCTTGCTTTTTTATTCCTGTCTCTTGAAAGCATTCCCTGAGGAGATAAACTATTTCAAGCTTTTTGTCCACTTGTCTTTAACTTTGACTTCCCCTGGTGCACATCTCTGTGTACACAGAAGCACGATGCTGCGTCTAATCCCACAGATTTCTGATCATGTTTCTCACAGTCCGCCTTTGTCTCAGAGACAAGTACGCTTCTATGTGCATAGAAGCAAGTAAGACCTTTCATCAAGGTTTTCACCCTAGTTTTCTTCAGATGGACAACTTAGAAAATTAATCATTGCCTTCTTAGACTTTTGGCCAAGACTATCTTGTCCCCAGGGCTTATGTATGTCTGTTTGTACCAGACAGCAAAAAAGAAGAGAAAGATGAAAAACATTTTAATTAGGTTATTTTATCCTATATCTGCCACAGTGTTGAAGAAATTGGATTTAATTTATTTAGAAAAAAATCATAGAAAAATATACTCATACATATGTACAAAAATATGATTATACATAAAATGCTATCACTATTCAAAATATTACCTCCAATCTAAAGGAAGACCAAATATTTCATAGCTATTAGGTTCATACTATTCCTTGTTCATTTTTAATTAATAAAAATCAAATATATATGAACAAACTAAACATTTGTATGAAATAACAATCGAGAATTAGTCAAACTAAACATTTGTATGAAATAACAATCGAGAAATATTCAAGTTACCAATCATACATTTGTTGTAAGTAAAGTCATTGTTTTGCATGAATTAAATCATTACATTTTATTCTAGAAATAATTAAATACAAAATTATACATTTCTTCATTAATTTACTTTCTAATTAAAAGATTTTTCTCTTATAGGAATAGAATGTGTTGATGTGTTATTTTGCTTACTTCTAGCTTGTAATACACCAGCTTGGTGATCAATTCTGATTTGTAAACATTTTATCTTGAATGGCAAATTTCAGTGACTTAGCAAAGTTTTATTAATGATATATGATTTAATTCGTATGGAATTTCCCACAATGACCAACCGAGCAAAAAAAAATAAAAATAATACGCGGTAGACAGGTACAGTTAATCAAAGTAAAATATAAGGCTATGCTGTGGGAATACCTTTGCTTTATTTATCATACATCAGAAACAAAGACCACCTTTTAAAATTGTCTCATTACAAAGGTTTAGGTTGATAACAAGTTACTGATAGCTAACTTCACAACTCAGTATTAAACAATGACTTAGGCCCACAGTTGATAAGCCGCCCTTACCGTAAGAATTGTAGAAGCAATATCCTTCTTTAACAGCCTCAGATATTGAACACAGTGCTTCATCAGAGTGATCCAAAGAAATTGAAATTTGGCTCAAAGGCCCATGAAGTTAATAATGAAGGCGGACTTACCTTCTCTGGAAGTTTATTACCTTCGTTCATTCTTTAAGGCTTTCTCCTAAAGATATAAAATTGGAAATGGTATAAAATAATAGGAACTCTGAAGTCATTATTGAAATAGTTGACAGACTGTATTATAATATTTTTATTCAGTGAGGCTATTACCCTACCAACAAACCACACAGACAATAACGGGCAGCTAATTCTGTTCTTCTTAATCATGCTGGGGGAAAAAAACCCTGCTTTTGAATCATTAACAATGGAAAAAATGATGGATTTGACTATTTGGTTATCTAATTTTGGAGTGGAAAGCTACCTTCAGTTAGATGAAATAGCCTTTCGGAATTCTAGTTCTCAATCCCATTACATCCCACTTCATCCCTCATTTGCACAGCTCCTGCTGCCACACTCTCTATCTTAGCATAAAACAAACTAAGTTAAGTCGCGGTGGGGTGCCTTTTGTGAGGCCACTCAGAGAGGGAAGAAAGAAACAAAGAGCAAGACAGACTCCCTGAACAGAAAGAAAACAAATACGGCTTTAAAAAAGGAGAACAAGCTGAAGGAAAAAGATCATTGGGTCACACATCATAAAATCACAGAGGCTTTTAAAATCTGGCCAGACTTGTAGTAATAGCCTTTGTTTGGGGAGGTTTCCTTCAGAGAGCTGGAAAATCAATTCCGAATTAATAAGGGTCTTTCTCCTTTCATAAGCTACTTCTGGAACTAAGGAAGGGCTCATTAAAGATCTTGAAGTCACCCAGATAATTACAGATCTTTCACACATGCAGCATGGTCACTTTTCTGATCACGGTTTGTGTTCTCTGCACTTCATGTCAGAAGTGTCCTCATACACTACTTGAGGAAGTTTAAGAACTAAAGGTGTCCAGGAAACCTTTCTGTTCTTGGCCACTAGGTCCCTTCTGCAGGGAGACGTGTGCAGGGTGGGAGAGAGGCCTCATAGAAGATCCCTCCGTTTTTTCCACGAGAAGGCCTCTGCACACCTTACCACGGCTTGTCCTGAGAGTGAAGGTAAAAGCAGTCCAGCATTGCGAATCCCTAGCTCTCTCTTAATTTCTCCTCCACATTTCAGGGACATTTTGCCAAGTGCCAACTGTTCCTGCTGTTCTTGCCTTCACATTGACAAAGTAAACTCACCCTGCAGCCACCATGTCAGGCAGGGAGGCCCAATGGCCAGAGCAGAGATTTGGACTGTTTTGGAGGCAATCCCAGTAGGAGGTTACAAAGCCGGTCTCGCAGCTCTGTCTTTCCTAGATGGAGAATCTGATCCTTTCTGTTCTACTGAATGGCAGACTGGGAAGGTTTGAAAGCATCAGGTCCTTCTCTGTCCGTTCTCAGCCGGACCCCTGAAGCTCTGTCCTCGCCAGGTGAACCAGGCTCTACCTGGCCGTGAGGCCGGGGACACAGCTAGCAACCAGCCCTGCCAGAGGCTCTAACCTCTGCACGCCCAGCCAAATAGTGCCACCTGGTAGAGACAATCATGGTGCTTTAAAATGCAATACAAACCCCTCCTACATTGGTTGTCAAATCACTTCACGATTCCTAGGCAAGCAGTGGATTCTGCGCCTGGGAGAAGGGCCGGGGGGAACGCTGCATGCATGTGCAAAAATAACCCCGGAGACGCGAGCCAAGTACTCTGCTGGAGCCTCTGCAGCCTGTGGATGCCCGCTGGGCGGCTGGCTGTCCCCCGGGAGCCGGGCGGGGCTGTGCCCGCTCCCCCTCCGCACGCCGGGCCGCGGGAGCAAGCCCACGCCGACTTTGGGAGTTCCTCTCTGCCTTGTATGGAGGGCTGCTCTCGGCCCGTCTCC